GTTGTGGAAAACAATTTGCAATTTTTCAAAAATGAAAAATAGGATTGCTATATAATACAAAAATTTCACTTCTAGGTATATACCCCAAATAATTAAAAACAGGGATTTAGATTCTTATAATGTTCATTGCAGCATTATTCAAAAATGCAAAAGCAACTCCAAGTGTCGATCAATTTTATTTATTTTTTATTTATTTTAATTTGACAAGAAAGGGGAGGGGGGAAAGAGAGAAAAGAGAGAGAGAGAGCGAGAGAGAGAGAGAGAGAGAGAGAGAGCGAGAGAGAGAGGGAGGGGGAGAAAAGGGGATAAGTAAAAAAGCAAGCTGCCTGGTCTGGGACTTGAACCATAGTCAGCCATAATAAGGGAGTCCAGAGCCCTTAATCACCATGTCACCTGCTGGCCCCAGGAAATTATTGTTTAATGAGCACAGAGTTTCTGTTTGGGGTGATGGAAAGGTTTTGTGAACAGTGGTGATAGCTACACAACCTTGTGAATGTATATAATGCCACTGAATTTAACACATAAACGTGATTAAGATGGCAAATTCTATGCTATTCATGAATTGCAACAATAAAACTAATTAAAAACAAAAGAAGAAAAAGGTCATGAAGATTTAAACTATTCTCATAAATGTGATCTTTTCATTGCCAGAGACAGAGAGACAGAAAGAGAGGGAGAGGGAGAAAGCAACCCCCCAATGGAGTGTGGTACACCACAATCCCTTCTCCATTTCTCCATCCTGTTAGGACTTTGTTGTGCATGCACATATACCTGGTGTGTTTTTCAAGCCACTGAAACTGGAATTCAAATCACCGCCAGCCATGTGGGATCTGGTGCTCTTAACCACTGGGTTCCAGGGCTGGCCTTGGTCTGATTAATGACATAAAGGCTTGTGCTCATTGTAAACAGAGCCTCTTGTTGACAGATGATTCTGAGGTTGATGTGAGACATGGGAGAGAAAAGAAAAGGCTGCTTTTTCATTTTGCTTAGTGTTGTAAATAATATTGTGTGTTCTGAACCATGGGTAAGTGGCCCACAGCCTTTCTTCTAAGGAGGGGAAGGCTTACCCCTGCAACCTGGTGGCTAGGGATAAGAGAGGACTAGGACAAGAGATGACAACAGGAAGATGTTCTGTGGGTAGAACTCGGCCTTTTGACTCTAATAACAATGATGTCCAGTTTCCTCTCTCCAGTCTTAAAGTTTTATTTTCTCCTTTTAATGTATTAAAAAGACTGTGAGCCTTTATTCTAGTGTAGGCACTAAGGAGTACCATGAAGACAATATAGATAAGATTGGCCTGGTCTTCACCCTTCATTTTAGTGGGATAAGAAAAAAAAAACTAATAAATAAACATATAAGAAAAATATTGGTAAACTATGTTAATATGAAGAAGTAAAAAATAACGGCTGAGAAAGAGGGTGATAGGAAGGGACCTAATCTTTGACAAGGTGACAGTTAGGATGTAGACGATGAAAGGAAGTCCTTATGTGAAGGTCTGAGGAGCAGAGAAAGGCTCTGAAGAAGAACAAAGCTTGCAGTGCAGGAGGGTCAAATGATTACGGGGCCTATGTGCTCAGAGGGTTTTGAGTGAGGGTAAGAGTGCTACAGTGCAAGCATGGGATGAGGTAGGAAAGAAAGACAGATCCAGTTGAGCATGTGGGTGGTTAAGGGTGCTGGACTCCTATATGGCTGACCGCGGCTGGAGTTCTGGACATGGTGGCTTGCTTTCTCACTTTCTCTTTCTCTTTCTCCCTCTCTCTCTCTCTCTCCCTCTCTCCCTCTCACTCTGTCCATTTCTGGTCATCCATGTATACCAGAGACAGTGTGGGAGGAGGGTGGGACATGGCAGAGGGTGATAGGGACTCAAGGATGGGAAAAAGAGCAAAATATACAGGAAACAAGAAATAGAAAATTATATGTTGACGATAGCAAATATGTTGATGTGCTTGATTGAGCCAATATACAGTGTATTCTGGATGGAAAATCTCTGTAATGATGTATAGTGAATGAATGTAAATAAAAAAATAAAAAATTAATATTAAAAACATATGTATTTATTTATTTAATTCTATTTGTCTTTTCAAATTATTTTTAATTTGACCAGAGAGAGACAGAGAGAGAGAGAGCAAAAAGGAAAGCAAGAAAGCAAGCTGACAGGTCTGAGACTCAAACCATGATCAGCCATGTGGGAATCCAGCATCTCTAACCACCATGCCACCTGCCGGCCCCCTAAAGTTAAATAATTCTTAAAAAAAAAAAAAAAAAGTTATGCATGGAGCTTGGCAACTCCATGAATCCCAGGCTTGGTAGCTTGCTTTCTCACTTTCCATTTCTCTATGTGTCTCTCTCTGGTCAAATTAAAAAATAATAATAATAACAAATGGATTTAAATAAATAATTCTTTTTTTAAAAAAAGTTATTAACAATCACTAAATTACCTCTCAAACTTCTGAAAGCTTACATAAAGAGATCTCTTGGTCTACATTTTGGGGCTATTGCCTGAGGGAACCCACATCCAGTTTGAGCCAAGTTCTGTAGGATCATGGGAAGGAGAGAGCCTGGAGAAGCCAAACGGTTATGACATGAAGAATGAATCAGTGGGAGGAAGATGACTCAAGCAACAAGAAATGAGCAAGATCGGTTTGTAGCACGGCTGAGCATTCGTTGGAGGGCTCTAGAAAACACTTCAGGGTGGGAATCTAGCAAGAGGCAGCTGTGGGATCAAACAGCATAGAGATGGGAACTTTGGATAATTGATCACTAAATGTAGAGTGACTCCAGTCAAGTGAAGACTAGAGAAATTAAGGACACTGAGCACAGTTATTTGTTGGCAAAACTGTCTTTACCACAAGACTACACAGTCTTTGAAATCAAAGATGTCACTGAGTACAGGAGTTAATTCTCACTCATTTCTAACTCGGGTTCAGCACAGGCCCTAGCAGATAACAGGTACTAGAAAGAAAGAAAAAAGTGGTCTAAATGAATGGATGAAAGGAGGGAGGGAGGGGTGAAGGGATGGGTGGATGAATAAATGGATGGATGAGTGGGTGGGTATGTGGACAGACAGACCGGTGAATGTGTGGATGGAGAGATGACTGTGTGGATGGATGAATGACCATTAGAGGCAAAGTAGATGTTTATTATTTCACTACCATTATAGTGCATAGAACATATGTGAACATACAATTCTGCTGGATCCCTGCAAGTTACTGTACTACATTATGAGCTCTGACAGCGATAGTGAATAATATACCTAGTTACGAAACTAATTGAGTGCAGTCTGAAATCCAGCCATTGTGCTTAGCCACATAAGAAAGAATTCTGTTTCTGTGAACAGATAATCTAGTTCTTAGCCTTGATATCACAGTGTTCTGCTGGTGTAAAAAAAACAAAACAAAACAAAAAACAGACATCATTTCAAGACTTGGCTGCTCCCAGCAACCTCTTGAAGCAAGAGTAGGGCCTAAAACAGCCAAGTGTGTACTTTGAAACCTGCTCCTTTACCATACTTTGTGGGAAAGTCACCTGACCTAGGCTTGGCCAGTTACAGCCTTTCTCCCAGGAACTCTATAACATTTTTTAAAAAGAATGATTTATTTAATTCTATTAATTATTATTATTATTTGAGCAGAGACTCAGAGAGAGAGAGAGACAGAGAGGGAAAGTGAGAAAGCAAGCCACCAGGTTCAGGACTCAGATTGTGATTTGCCATGTGGGAATCCAGCACCTTCACCACCACACCACCTGCTGGCCCTGAAATCTGTCAATTTTTTTTTTTTTTTTTGGAGAGATTTTCACTGTAGGGCGCGTGCGCTCGCCAGACAGACAGAGAGAGACATAGAGACAGAAAGCGAGAAATCACCCCCCAGGGGGGATGGTCACGCCGCAATCCCTTCTCCTCCATTCTCCTCTCGGGATCTTGGGCACGCACGCACACGCGCCCGGCGTGAGTTTTTTAAGCCACTGGGTCCGGGACACGAACCGCAGTCGACTGTGGGAATCCAGCGACATAGCCATTACGCTAACTGCTGGTTCCCGAAATCTGTAAATTTTTCATTGAGAGTCAGGAGGAGAAAATAACTGAGTCAATCGGTGGATGAGTTTAGGGAAAAAGACCCCAAGAGCGATGCTGCAGGTACCATCTGAGCTGCCCGAGTTGCCCTTTTAGTAGCAGGCGTTCACAGAACAGCAAAAATTGGGTGAGGAGACGACCTCCCTACAGCACCTGTCCAGTGAACTGCAGCCATCGTGGGAATGCCCATGACCCTGAGCTAGGGACCGGGGGAACCTGATTACCTCAGAGGAATCACATTTCCGCATCTCCTTCTTCTTTGCCAGACGCTTCTTTTTCTTGTGAAGAGGTTTGGACTCCAAAATCATTTCTTCAAGTTCAAAAGTGGGGTCACAATTCAGCCTGCCTTTCTGCAAGGAAGACAAGTCTCAGTTCTCAGATCACTGCGTCATTCCAAAAGCACACCAGGCCCAATCTGGAGAGTAACACTGAGTCTTGAACAGAGCACCAGTAAAAAGATGGGATTCTTTTTTTTTTTTCTTTTTTTTTTAGAGAGATTTTTGCTATCGGGCGTGTGTCCTTGCTGGAGATAGAGACAAAGAGCGAGAAAGAGAGAAATCACCCCACGGGGGGCATGGCCACACTGCAGTCCCTTCTTCTCTGTTCTCTTGGAATTTGGGGCACACAAGCACATGCACACAGTGTGAATTTCAAGCCACCAGGGTTCACGACTCAAGTTGTGGTTGGCCATGTGGGAGTCCAGCACCTTAACCAGCAAGCCCCCACTAGCCCCTAAACTGGGATTCTTACTCTAAGTTTTATATCATTTATTGCCACCATTATTTTCCATATTATAGTCTTTTCATCTTGCTTCTTTTTTATAAGCTTACAATGAGCCGTCAGTGAGAGGCAACCACATTACAATTCTTTTCCTGAAGTTTGAGCTTTTGGGTTATGTTCCTCAAAGCCTGGTCTAATAATCATATAGATGAGCATCACCTGAGTTGCTTGTTCACTTTCCGTTCCCCACCCAGACATCTCGAATCAGCATTTCTGAACATGAAGTTCTAGAATCTGCATCTAGATAAGCTCCTCAGATGACTCCGATCCATAGTAAAGTCAGACCATCATGAAAGAAGTTCTCTGATGCCCACAGCATGGCCGACTGCAGTGATGCAGCACACAGGATGGGAAGCAAGGGCAGGCTGCCTTAGACCTCCACCATGTCATGTGTCAACCATGTCACAAGATCCCTACTGGATCCGGTGGCCCAGTGGACAGTCTATCTTGCTGGAAAGATATTCCACTCTGTGTTGCTCCATAAGGTAGACATTTTCACTCCCAGCATCCCACCACACTGCTTTCTCCTTTCTTCCAGTTTGCATGTTCCCCTGACCCACATCCCCCACTTATTGGGGCATTTCCCTGTTGTTTGCACATTGAAGGCTCACATTCTTTTTCTTTAAGAGAGATTTTTTTTTTTTGCTGTAGGGCATGTGTGCTCGCCAAGGACACAGAAATAGAGCGAAAGTGAGAAATCACTTCCTCCCAAAGAGAAATCACTTCCCCCCAGGGGGATGGCCATGCCACAGTGCTCTCTCCTCCACTCTCCTCCTGGGATCCTGGGCATGCACACACATGCACTGGGCATGAGCTTCAAGCCACCAGGTCTGGGACTCAAACTGCAGTCTCCATGTGGGAGTCCAGTGCCTGAACCACTACACCACTTGCTGGCCCATTCTACTGGCCCTCAGTGAACCCCTGGCTTAGGTTTAGAAATAAAAATTCAGAATTCTTTCCACAGGCCTCTTTAGGAGGCCTAAATAATAATAATAACATCATTATTCCCAATATACCTCCAGCTGAATATTGCCTCAAGTCCTGGGTGGACATGAGTTAGAGACCTCACTTGGGCCCCTTGGCCCAAGACTCCAGCTTTTACCAATGGTCTGCAGTAGGCCACAGATGTCCTTTGGCCAAGAATTTATCTGGTAGAAATCATTGAGTCCTAAGACTATAGATCTCTGGAACAGAATGAGCAAAGGAAGAAGGACAAATGATAAAAAAAAACAAAAAAAACAAAAAAACACAAAACACTTCTTCCCTCTGACTCACAGATCTCCATGGACACACATTTCCACATCTTTGGAATCAGAGAAGACATTTTTGTTTAATCAGCAGATTCATGTAAATGTCTCTCAGTGGTGGGGATTAGGACTTCAATAAAATGATACCATGAAAAACGGTTAGGGGCCCAGCCATAGTGGCAGAGGTAGTAAGGCACCACTTTGTCATACTGGAGCCAGAATGCAAGGCTCTGGGATCAGATTCTGTATTGACCTGAACACATCAGTCATCCCTGTGGTCCCGGCTGGCTGAAGGGCTGAGGGATAGTGGTTGGCCAAGACACCATCAAGGGTGCCCTTCCTTCTCTCTCCGTAAAAAAAGAAACTAACTTTTAATAAAATGTGACTAGGAGGTAAAACTCCAAATGTAAATACACCCAAAGGAGAATCCCAGCTTGGCACCTTACTAGCTGTGTGACCTTTGGTGACCATCTTACTCTGTGTATGCCTGTTTCCTCATCTGCAAAGCAGGAATTTGGGTTTCCGGGATCAGCAGTTAGCGTAATGACTTTGTTGCTGGACTCCCACGTGGTCGACTACGGTTCGAGTCCCGGACCTGGTGGCTTAAACTCACCCCAGGCGGGTGTGCATGCATGCCCAAGATCCCGAGAGGAGAAGGGAGGAGAAGGGATTGCAGTGTGGCCATCCCTCCTGGGGGTTGATTTCTCACTTTTTGTCTCTCTGTCTCTGTCTGTCTGTCTGGCGAGCACATGGACCCTATAGCAAAAACCCCTCCAAAAAAAAAAAAAAAAAGAAGAAGAAACCTGAGGCTGGTTCTAGGTTGCGGCTTTCTCCATCAGAGAAAGGTTGGGCCCACTCAATCCTTACTTAAAAAGAAAAAAAAAAAAAGAATTTGGGTTTCCTATAATAGTGGTATGATTATTTAATGGGACAATATGCAGAACTGGTTCACACAGCAATGTGCACTGGGTGGGGGCAATGTCGGGTTTGGTAGGAATCACTCACATTAGGAATAAAACCTGGAATGAGCCTCTTCTCCAAAACCGCATCCCAGTTCATATCGTTCATATACGGGAAGTTCTGCACATCTGACAAGTGAGAGAATCGTTCGTCCGGATTAGGTTCAAGTAGCTGCCAATGGAACACAAGCATCAAGATCACCGGGAAGGTCAAGGTGTAGAGAGTAAAAGAACATTCAAACCCTCTAAACAAGGCAGTACCCCCCTCCCCTCCTCCCAGGAAGTCACAACGGAGATGATGCATGGTTAGAACAAACCGTGGCAGTGTTTCACAAAGTGACGTGTGAAAACAGCTCGTCCTGCTGAGTCCACTTATCTTTGGTTCCTGACTCCCCTACTTACTAAGTTTATTGTCTAACCCTCAGTGTTCCCATCTGTAAAAAAGGGATAATAGCCTCCTTCCTAAGATTACAGCCAGAATTAAATGAGGCCATGTGCGTAAAGTACCTAATAGAGGGTCTGCTTGTGGTAGTTGGCACGTGTTCAACACACTTTCACAAAACTCATTTCCTGCTAAAAAATGTAGTTGTTTTTACAACGAATCGAAATACACTGGGAGAACTGGCCCCATTGCACAGCAGGTAAGAGCTGTGTGTAGGCAGCTGGACCCCACATGGTGCACCATAGTTCTCATCCTGGCCCGAGAATCTTGAAAAGCACGGGGCACCGGTGCATGCATGCCCCCAATCACAGCAGGATGGAGAAGGGATCATACCCCATTGAGGGCTGCTTTCTGCCCAACTCCACCACCCCAATCTCTCTCTCTCTGTTGAGTACATATGCCTTCTGGCAATAATAGAAATACATTGGGCATAACTCAGATAAAGTGAAACTAGGCTTACTGTTAGAGTTCTGGGTTATTAACTGGGATTAAAGATTCTTTTCTAGTCAGGTGCTGTGGGGTGCTCCTGTAATCTCTGCTACTCAGGAGGCTGAGACAGAAGGATTATGAGTTCTAGGCCAGCATGGGCAATGCAGCAAGACCCTGTCTCTAAAAAAGAGATTTTTTTCTCTTACCCCTTATCATTCCAGAGCCAACATCACATCAATCATGTGGCTCAGATGGAAAATGTCAGTCCCACATGAGAATGCTCCTGGAGATGACACCCATAGGAAGTCAGGATATAGTTAGGGTGAAGGGGAACTGCTCCGGGAACTGGAAAAATATTGCTTATGGAAAAATGACCTCGCTGTTCTTCACCTTTGACATTACCAATGACAACACCCCTACTCTTAAATAGGGAACTTGACCCCAAAGATGAGAGACACAGATTTTAAATCTTTAGCTCCCCAAACTCTTCCTTTAATAGCCCAGCCTGTGCAATGCTCTCTCCTAAACAAATTCAGGTCCATCCTTTTGGGCTCTTCATTCTTTCTTTCACATAATCAGTCAACACATGCTATTGAGTTCCTGCCATTTGATATAACTGCTTTGAATCTTTTTGATGAACACGGGTTCCTTAACAATCTTAGGAAAACTATGGACCTTATTTATTGCCTGCCAGGCTCTGTGTTAGAGGTTGCAAATACTGTGGGGTACGAGTCAGGCATGGCCCCTACCCTCATGCAGCTCAGAGGAGAATCATCATTAACCCGAGGATCCACCAGGGCTATGAATAATTTCCAACTGCGAAAAAACATTATCGAGGAAAGATAGTGTTACGTGAACTCAGAACAGAAGGAGGCATCATGGCAAAGTGATATTTGAGCTGAGACCCAAAGCCGTGTGTCTCGAACTGTCTATGTGGAAGAGCTAGTTTTTTGCTTGTATGTTTTAATTTCTAACCTACTGAAACCAGCATGTGGCATTATTGTGCTTGGCTAACGTGCAGCTCCACACCACATAAAACTTGTGACTTGAGTTCAACATCACCCAAATGAGCAAATGAGCTTGCACCCTATTCTTTTTTGTGTGTGTTTAATTGCCAGAGGATGAGTGTGTTAATCAGAGAGAGAAAGAGACAGAGGGGGAAGGAGAGCGAGAAAGCACCTCTCAATGGGGTGTGGTCATGCCACAATCCTTTCTCTTCTATTTCTCCATCCTGTGAGGATCTTGGGCACACATACACACCCACACCCACACACACACACACACACACACACACACACACATGTACCTGGCATGTCTTTTAAGCTGCTAGGACCAGGATTCAGACCACAGTTGGCCATGTGAATCTGTCTCCTTTTACCACAAGCTGTGGGGTCAACCCCTCACCCTGTCCAAAGGGACCAACCCTGGGTTTAGATGCTATAGCAGTGCCCAGTTGCTCTAAGTGCATCTAAATGCTTCTCTCAACTTTTGTCCTGACAACTGACCTGTCAGAAACGATCCATAGACTAGAACTGGTCAGTGAGTCACACTGAGTAGTACTGATCTTGAGGAGGGAGCTGGAGGAGCTAGCCCTGGAGACAACGTTCAGGAAGAGGGACCCACATGTGGAAATGCCCTGTGGTGAGAGGCACACTAGTACATGAGAGCGAAGAAGGAAAAGAGAAAGAAAAGAAGGCCAAAGCTAACACGGATTACGTGCTGACCAAAGGGCGACAGAAGTTCAAAATGAAGTCGGAGAGGGAGTTAGACTGTGTGCCATACAAATGATTTTAGTCTTTTTCTAAGAACAATGAGAAGATACTTTGAACAGAACACTGAGGGGCAGAGTGGAAAACAGACTGGAGTGGTGAAAGTGTGTGTGGGCAAACCAGTTACAGGCAAGACTTGATGGCAGTGGGATGGGGAGAGAATGGCAGAGGTGGAAAGAAGTGAATGATTCAGAACTTAGTAATGGATCAGATATGGAGATAAGAAAAGAGTTCTGGTTCCCAGCTTGTAAAAAGGGATGGATGGAGAGGCCAGTCACTGAGAAATGGAACACTGGAAGTTGAGAACATGTGGAAACATTAAGAATTCCTTTTGTTGTTGTTGTTTTCTATAGCGCATGTATGCTTTCCGGAGAGAGAGAGAAAGAAAGTCAGAAATTACTCTGCATGAGGCATGGCCATGTTGCAATTCTTTCTCTTCCATTCTCTTCTTGGGGTTTTGGTCATACATGCACATGTGGCCAAGTGTTTTTCAAGCCACTGGGTCTGTGACTCAATCTACAGAGTCATGTAGGATCCAGCCATCTTAACCACCACAGCACCTGGCATGCCCAACAATTCTATTTTATTTTATAAGAAGAATTATTTTATTTAACTTTATTATTATTATAATTATTATTATCTTCTAGTTTGATCAGAAAGAGACAGAGAGAGAAAGGGAAAGTGAGAAAGCAAGCCACCAGGTCCAGGACCCAAACTGCAATTGGCCACGTGGGAGTCCAATGCCTTTAACCACCACGCCACCTGCCACCCCAAGAATTCTATTTTAGACACATTGAATTTGATATGGATTTGGAACATCCAAGGGGACTTGAAAGTGGACTTAATAAAGCCATGCAGTTCAAAGCTGTTAGCTGCAAAAACCACTTTAAAAATGTCTATTCTCATCACCATCCCCGATACTGTGTATTAACCTCTAACCTTGAAGCAGAAAGCATGCTTCCTTTTATCACTTTCTTTTTACATACAGTCTTCTTTCTTACCTTTTTAAGAAGTGACACCATTTCCTGTGACCAGGCAGAAGGGTAACTCACAATAGCTGTCTCAAACATGTGTGCGATTTCTTTGCTGGAAGTACTGGAGCGAATATGATATGGTCTCTTAAGGGAGAGAAGAAGTGAGAGTCTTATTTTTACAGGGTAAAAGAACAAAATTTGTCTTCCAAGTGTTTCCAAACTAAACTTTTGACCAATAAAATACCAATCTCAACTTCTAAGCCTTTTAGCTGATCATTGTGTTGCCATGTGTGCCAGTGTGGCCGGACCGCCTACTTTTTATTTATTGTTTAAATTTTGCTAGAGGGCACATGTGTTCACTGGAGAGAAACAGAGAGAAAGAGAGGAAGAGAGAGAAAAAAAGAGAAAGTGAAAAAGCACCCCCATGGGGAAAAGTCACACTGGAACCCTTTCTCCAACTTCTCCTCCGGGGATTTCGGGATTTGCATCCAGTGAGTTTCTCAAGTCATCTCTGGGATTCGAACCATGCTGTCATTCATGTAGGATCAAGTCACCTTAAGTGATGACTCCATGGTTCTTTTTATAAAGAGATGCCAGAAGCTTATAGTTTTTTGTAAAATATCATGATTTAAGAAAAAGTTTTATTCTTAAATAATAAGAGAAATAGAGAGAGTAAGAGAGACAGGCACCCCATAGGATCTTCATGCTGTGATCTACCCCTTAGCCAGGCCTGGATCAGGGGCATGTTCATGTCCAGTGCACTCAGAGTTCTCTGGATAGGAACCCAGGACCTTTCCAAACGGGTCAGCCTCAGAGTGTGATGTATTATTGCTGCGCCACTATCATGCCCAGAAACACAAGAATTATAAAAGCTGGTAATTCCACTGAGCCAAACAAAACATTTTAGTCGGCCAAATCAGCCTTTAAGATGTTTATTTGAAACTTTTAGGTACTAATTTAAAACTTACAGAGCTGTTTATATTAAATACTGGACAAGCATTCAACAAGTGGAAATTTAAAAAAATATCATAAGTGTTGCTTAACAAGGAAATCCAGAATTTTTCAATGTCCTTCTTTTCACTTGTTTGGAACATAATGAGGAAGCTCAGGACAGAACTGGTCAGAAAATATCAACCTCAGCCCCAAATGCTATGGGTCCCTGGTTCCATGGAATGTGGTCACAGAGAATGCTTCATCCTACAGGTCATCCATAGTTTAGAATTTTTTTTAAAATCTCTGGAAGAACAGGATTTTTCTGTAGTTGTAACTTCAGGAAACAAAGTTAACGGTGGGCTTGTTACAGTTTTTACATCTGTCCACTAGAGGGCAGCCGCAATCAACATTAATTTCTCTATTTTGTAGGAGACCTACCAACATTCGAATTTCACGTATTTTATGTGAACGTTAAACTACTTAAAGCCAGAGATTATACCATACTCACATTCTTGTTCAGAGAATCTATAACTTAGAGGGTATTCAATACATATTTGTTAAATGAACAAAATTTCCATACTAGATTCACCAACCATAGGATAGTTGACATGGATATACACATTTATCACGTCTGGCTTTCTCTCTCTCTCTCTCTCTTTCTTTTTTTTTTTAAAGATACTTTTGCTATAGGGTGCGTGTGCACTTCCCAGAGAGAGAGAGAGACAGAGAGATGGAATGCCAGAAATCACCTCCCAGAGGGGATGGCCAGGCAACAATCCCTTCTGCATCTTCCTCTCGGGATCTTGGGCACACAAGCACACATGCCTGGCCTCCTGAGTATTTTCTTTTTCTCTCTTTATTTCTTTCTTTTTTTTCTTTTCTTTTCTTTTTTTTTTTTTTTTTTTTTTTTTTTTTTTTGTGGCGCGGGTTGCTTGCCAGAAAGACAGAGAGAGACAGAGAGACAGAAAGTGAGAAATCACCCCCCACCCCCTCAGGGTGATGGCCACGCCACAATCCTTTCTCTTCCATTCTCCTCTCAGGATCTTGACGTGAGTTTTAAGCCACTGGGTTTAGAATTTAAACCACTAGGTGGGAGTCCAGTGATGTAGTCATTATGTCATCTGCTGGTCCTCACATCTGGTTCTTTTTAGATGTTTAATAAATGACTGTTGACTGGGACAGCCAGTAGCAGGGTAGTTAAAGCAGCTGGATTCCACATTATCTAACTCCATGGTTTGAGTCCTGGACCTGGGTAGCTTAAAAAACACCCGAGACGTGTGTGTGTGTGTGTGTGTGTGTGTGTGTGTGTGTATGCCCAAAATATCCAGAGAGGAGAACGAAGAGGGAGAAATTGCAGTGTGGCCATCCTCCCGGGGGTGCTTTTTCACTTTCTCTCTCTGTCTCACTTCTCTGTCTCTCTGGTGAGCACACATGCCTTGTAGCAAACTAAAAAAAAAAAATGCTGACTGGTTAAACTGGGGGACACGAAAGGGCTTAGGTTTTTCCCTGTAGGAAATCAGGACTAAGAGCTAGCATAGGACCCAGTCATGGTAGTTCATGCTGTTAAGATGCTGCTGCCCAGCAGGCTGGGCCAGACGGCAGGCCCCAGTTTGAGTCCTGGTCCAACATACGGGCTGGGTGTGCTGGTGCCCACCTGTAATTCCAGCAACTTGGTAGGCCAAGGCAGGGGGTTGCCAACTTCAGGCTGGCCTGGGCAACACAGTGAGACCATGTCAAAAAGTGAGTCAAATATGGTGGCATGTACTTCTAGGCCCAGCCAGGAGGCTGAGGCAGGAAGACTATGATGCGGTAAGACCCTACCTTAAAAATAAATCCATTATAAAAATGGAGGTCATATAGTATAATGAAGTATTTGAAGAATGAAGGCAAAGAATTTGGGTGCTAAACTTAACCACTCACTTTCTGAGCTTCAGTTGCTTCATGTGTAGCATGAAGCTACTTCATCTGCAAAATAGCCAATCCGTGAGATTGTGGGAAAATGACTAGAGATAAAACGTGAAGTTCTCAGTAGAGTGGCTATTACAAGGGGGCTTCAGAAAGTTCAGAAGACAATGGAATGAAAGTATGAGTTTATTTAGGTGCAAAACATTTTTGCAATCCGTACATGATTTTTGCCTAAGACACAAGTTCCACGAACTCATTGATGGTCCCCTCTTACCTATTGGACACACACAAGACCGCTATTTTTGCTTTTATTGATACAGGGTAGAAAAGGCAAATATAAATGTGAATAGTGAGCAGCAAAATGAGTTCTCAATGAAGCTGACGTGAAGAAAGGTGTAAGTCTTTGTATAGTAAGTCAACATTAGTTACGTGAGGAAGCATGAGTGAGGGTGACCTCCTCCAAAAGAGAGATGAGGTCTAACTTTTTATTCTTTTAAAGCAAGTTCTAAAAATCCTGCCACCTTTTTTATTCCCCATCTCTTAAGACTAAATAAAGGACCATAGCTAAATCATTTGTCTTGGTTGTTATAATGTAGTGGCGATGACTCCTTAGCTCAGTATCAGAAAAGACATGGAATGCTCTATTGCCATTATCGAAGTTTATTCACTACTACTAGGCCCAATGCTCTAGGTTCATGCCATGTAGACCGTGAAGACTTGGGTCAGGTTTAGCATAGTCAGGCTTTCAGGATTCGATATGTATGTACATGTATAGTATTCTCTTTGTCTAAATGTTTTCTTCATTTCAACTAATTGCTGCTCCTAAATGTTCATGGCTATCTAGAAAACAAAATGATTGGATAAACTTTGTTGAATTAAATGGTGAATGTCACAAGCAACTGGTTTAAGTGCATAAGTGTTTTTAATAATTTACTTTAGAAATCCATATAGCTGAATTTAACATTTAAAAAGATCTACATGTCCTGTCAACTTATTAAAAACGAACTGTCTTCAGAGCCGGCAGGTGGTGCAGTGGTTAAGGTGCTGGACTCCCACATGGCTGACTACGGTTCGAGTCCCAGAACTGGCAGCGTGCTTTCTCACTTTCTCGCTCTCTCTCACTCTCTGTGTCTCTCTCTGGTCAAATTTTAAAAAATGATAATAATAACAAATGAAATAAAATAAACAATTCTTCTTTTTTTTTTGGAGAGGTTTTTGCTATAGGGCGCGTGCGCTCACCAGACAGAGAGAGAGAGACAGAGAGACAGAAAGCGAGAAATCACCCCCCAGGGGGGATGGCCATGCTGCAATCCCTTCTCCTCCATTCTCCTCTCGGGATCTTGGGCACACACACATGCGCCCAGCATGAGTTTAAGTCACTGGGTCCGGGACTTGAACCGTAGTTGACTACGTGGGAATCTAGCAACATAGCCATTACGCTAACTGCTGGTCCCATAAAATAAACAATTCTTAAAAAACAATAAAACCATCTTTATCTTATTCATTAACTTTATTTTTTAGCTCTAATTTTTAAAGAATATGGGACTAGCAGATGACATAGTGGTTACATTGCTAGACTCCCATGTAGTTGGCCACGGTTCAAGTTCTGGATCCAGTGGTTTAAAATCCACACCAGGCACATATGCATGTTTGCCCAAAATCCCGAGAGGAGACTGGAGAAGAGACTGCGGCATGGCCATCTCCGCTGGTGGATGATTTCTCACTTTCTGTCTCTCTGGTGAGGCACATACACCCTATAACAAAAATCTCTCAAAAAAAAAAATGTATGGTAGTAGAAAACAAGAATAATTTATTTAATTTCATTATTATTATTGTGTGTACATGGGTGGGGGCACATGTTAAGGACGTGTGTGTGTGTGTGTGTATTTAGTATTTAGTATTAGGGAGCAACAGTATTTAAAAAATTTTTCCAAAACAGAAAAGGTCAGTTCTGAGCTTTAGAAAAATGAATTTGTCACTGTTGATAAATCAAATTACAAGAAACTACCACAGAAATAAAATAATATAAGAGAGAAAACTTTCTTTGGTTCTAATTGCCAGAGGGCATGTGCACTCACCAGAGAGAGACAGAGAGAGAGAGAGAGGGGGAGAAAGCATCCGCCATTGGGGTGAGGAGACACTGCAATCCCATCTCCATTTCTCCACACTGTAAAGATTTGGGCCACACATGCCCAAGCAACCAGGGCTGGGATTTGAACCACAGTTGCCCATATGGGATCTGGCTGTCTTAACCATTTGTCTATGGGGCGAGCCCTCCAAAACTATTTTGTTAGCAAATGTTTTTTTTTTTTTTTTTTCCCAGGCAGGGAAGATCTTTTTAGGCAAGTGATCCTTGAACAGAGTGCTAGGCATGTCTGAAGAATAACGTGCAGTTGCTTTCGTCTTGCTGTGTGTTATAAAGGATGACAGACAGCTGGGCATAATTGCTCTGAACCACAGAGGCTAGAACAAGGAAGCGTGGGAGAGTTGGTTCAGGAAAAGAACTTGAGGGCGTGGTGTGAAACAAGAGATGCTTCTACTTTTAAATAAATGATGGAATTCTCCTAGTTTTCTGGATGGTCCTTAGCATCATATCCATTTCTTCATTGGGAATTCTTTAGAACATAAGACAAAGTCCAGCGAAAGATAGAAACAGGTCAGATCTGAAGCTGCCATGGAGGCCCTACATATTTGACTTAAAAAGGTGGTCCTCTTCCACTGATTTGAATAACTCATCAAAAATTAAATATGCTGGGACCAGCAATTGGTGTAACGGCTCTGTCGCTGAACTCTCATGTAGTCAACTGCTGTTCAAGTCCTGGACCCAGTGGCTTAAACTCACGCCGGGCGTATGTGCATGCATGCCCAAGATCCTGAGAGGAGAATGGAGGAGAAAGGATTGTGATGTGGCCATCCCCTCTGCGGGGGGTGTGGGGGGGGTAATTTCTCACTTTCTGTCTCTCTGTCTCAGTCTGTCTTTCTGGTGAGTGCATGTGCCCTATATCAAAAACCTCTCAAAAAAATTAAATAAATAAACATGCTTAAAAAACAGTGTTACGATGATTTCCTCAGGGAAGGTAGGAGTAAGAACAATAAACAGAGTAATATTTAGGCGTGAAGAGCACTTTATAGTGAATGGAACAGATACAATCGTGAGATCCTCCTTTGATTGCTTTGCAATTACTTGTATTTGCTTTCCTGAGCAAGATGAAGCCACTGGATTATAATGAAATAGGTCCAAGGTTTTTTAAACATTTATTTAATTTTATTAATTATTATTATTTTAATTCGCTATGGGGCACTCACACTCACCAGAGAGAAGGAGAAAGAGACAGAGAAAGAGAAAGTGAGAAAGCAAGCTGCCAGGTCTGGGACTTGAACCATGGCTGCCTATGTGGGTGCCCAGCATCTAGTCACCTAGCCACCTGCTAGCTCCAAGCTTTAGTCATTGTTCTTGCACGTGAATAGGTCAGTTCATTGTGAGATGGCACTTTTAATGCAGATATCACAGTGATATGATGTGAGACCAAAGAGGAGGGCTATTGACAGAAGCAGAAAGATTGACTAAAGAAGGTTAGGGTGAGGGGCCAGCAGGTGGCATGGTGGTTAAAGGTGTAACTCCCACATGGCTGACTGTGGTTCAAGTCCCAGACCTGGTAGCTTGCTTTCTCACTTCTCCTCTCTCTCTTATTCTGTCTCTCTCTGATTAAAACTGAAAAATAATAATAATAAATAAATAAAGTGACATAAAATAATTATTAAAAAAAAAGGCTAGGGTGGTTGGAGTATCTGGATGATTTATCTGGTCCGAGATCCAATTCCCTAGCTCTGTAGTTTGAACAAACTCTTAAACAATCTTCAACTTCTTGGTCTTAAAGAAATTCCTGATTGGATCTATCACCAGGACCTTGAAAATAAATAACCAGGTATGCACTGAATGTTTATATCCCCAGAAAATTCCTGCATTTGAAACCTTAACTCTCAATGTAACGGTATTTGAAAATGGGACCTTTGGGAGGCAATTAAATTTACATTATATTATGGAGTGAGGCCCTCATGATGGGATTTGTGAATTTTTTAGAAAGAATTATTTTATTTAACTTTTATTTATTTATTTTAATTTGACCAGAGAAGGATAGAGAGAGAGGAAAAGTGAGAAAGCAAGCTGCCAGGTCTGAGACTTAAACCATGGCCAGCCATGTGGGAACCCAGCACCCTTAACCACCACACCATCTGCCAGTCCCAGGAAGTCGTGATCTTATAAGAAGAGGAAGAGAACTAGTCAGTGGCACGGTGGTTAATGCACTGGATCTCACCCGGCCCACAGGGCAGTTTGTGTCTAGAACTCTGGCTTGAAAAACATACCAGGTGTGTGTGCGTGCATGCCCAAATTCCCAAGAGGAAACTAGAGAGGGGATTGTGATTTAGTGATCCACTCTGGGTACCTTCTCACTTTCTCTCTCTCTCTCTTTCTGGTAAGTACACACACCTTATAGTGAATTTGAAAAAATTAAAAAGGAGAGAGCTTTCTCTCTGCTGTGTGAGACATAGTGAAAAGACTGCTGTCTGCAAGTCAAAAAGAGAGCTTTCACCAGAATCTGACCCTTCTGGCCACCTAATTTCAAACTTCCAACCTTCATATCTGTGAGAAGACAAATTCTTGTGGTTTTAGCCACCCAGTCTGTAGTATTTCGTTATGGTAGGCTAAGCTAACTAAAATACAAACTTAGGGCGGTATTTATATGATGCAATAATTTGCAAAAATTATATAAAATAATTTAAAAGAATTATTTATTGAATTCAATTTATTATTATTATTTTAATTTGCTATAGGGCACAGGTGCTCACCAGAGAGACAGAGAGAGAGAGAGACAGAAACAAAGAGACAGAGAAGGAAAGTGAGGAAGCAAGCAGCCAGGTCTGAGACTTGAAATACTATCAACGTGGGAGTCAGGCACCTTAACCGCCACGCCACCTGCTGTCCCTAAAATAGTAATCGTATCATATTAAACAAATATGATGATGAAATCATCATCTCTTTTTTTTCCTAGAAAACAATTTCTTTGTTTAAAGAATCCGAGTACTCTAATTTTCCACTGAATCTGAAACCTTAGGCGCTGAATGACAGATGGGATCCAACAAGACTGGACCTGCGTTGCGCCGTATTAATAATTCTCACTTGCCTTTGTGAGTGTGTCTGATTAGAGACCTACACAGTGACTGCCAAATGACTTCCCTTTAGCAAATGTATTTACACAGATATTTCATGAGGTGTATTGATTTCCCCTCTTTTGGAATTTATGATATCCATATTATTCCTTTAGTTCTATCTGTGTAATTTAATGTTAAGTCACATGACTGGCCCCTTACCTAGGACAGTGAATTAATCAATGCAAAAATCTCAACGAATACTGTCAGCATGACAAGATGTAGTTGTTTTTAGCTCTCAAACAAACTACTTAGCTCTTAGCAAACAATAACTTCTTTCATTCTAAAACAGAACATGCTGGAAGAATAACCAAAGAAAAAATACATTTCTATCTTACCCGGCCTCTCAAGAGCTCATACGCTGTCACTCCTAGAGACCACCAGTCAACAGCAAAGGAATAGCCTGCTTCTTTTCTGGAGTTAAACATCTCAGGTGCTGAAAAACACAGAACAGTCAGGCCTGGTTCATTCTCTGGGACGTTAACAAATCTATTCTCCCAATGTGGTTCTCCAAAGGAGAATTACTAGAGCAAAAGATATAAACACCTTTATAGATGTTTATCATCCACTACAGCATTGCTCACATTAGGCAAACATTTCTAATTTGCTAATCTTTCTCAGTCGCCTCATTTATCAACCAACACACATGCAGGCATACACAGGCCGTACAAAGAACAGACTCTTCTTTAGATTACATACCTATACAAAATTGAGTTCTATTAGATCTCAAATATGCAGCTGACCAGAAATCAAGAAGGCTGAGAATATGTCGTTTATTGTCTTGATTTGAAAGGTTTGCCCTAAAGGATCTGACTTGGTATTAAGGCTGCAAACAGTTCTCAGGATCTGGTGCAACATACATTGGACTGGCTCTCTGTTTTGGAGTCAGCTAGAAAAAGCCAGAGAAGTATCTGCCACCTTCCACTGGGGTTGCAGGAGAGAGAAAAGAGGAAGTGGCTTCCACTTTTGTAAGGCTTTACAACAGTTGTGGGTCATTTCTCTTTGTAACCATAGTTCTTTGAATGGACTCCAATGAAGGCGCAGCAATGGTCAATTGTACTCTCAAAGATGACCCCCAGTTAGGCGTTCTCTAAGCACTTAGACATCCCACATATCCTTGACACACCTTTCCCAGAAGACACCTAACTCCTGAAGAGTGGACTAGGAGAATGAAGCACAAAGCAAAGGCTAGTATCTTCCTGCTTGCTCACCACCACATTCCTGGTGTCAAATGTGGAACTTGACAGTCTGTGTCACTTGACAGAAAGGTGCTGAATGAATGAACAAGTAAATCAATGATTGAAGCCATAGTTGTGATCGTGAGCTCTGGAGTCTTGATGCCTGGGTTCAAATTCTGCTTTTATCACTTACGGTGACATTGATCATGTTAGGCCACAGAGCCTGAGAATCCTCATTGGTAAAATCAGAAGAAGAAGGCAATCTTTTATACTGAGTGCAATACATGCATGTCGAACCTCAGTATAGTGCCTGGCACTTAGAAAGAGCTCAGCAGTTGGGGCTGGCAGGTGGTGTGATGGTTAAGGCATTGGACTCCCACATGGCCAACTGCAGTTCAAGTCCTGGCTTACTTTTTCACATTTCCTCTCTCTCTTCCTCTGGTCAATTTAAAAATAATAATGATGAATAAAATTAAATAAAATAATTCCTACTTCTAAAAAAAGTGCTCAGCAGCATCAGGCACTTTTATAGACAGGCAAACATTCCTCATCATGGGAATTTGCCTCATGAAATGCAATACACAGTTGATCCCAAGCCACCTGTAGTAAAGGGTTGACTCTGTACAAAGGAAAATTGAGTGTGATGTGAGATCTGCACACAGACTTGTCTTGTCCCGAGGACTCAATTTCTGTTAAACTAAATCTGGTAGAGTGCATCCAATTCAAGAGCTAGAATGTTGAAACCCAATGCCCAGGATGGACCCTAACTGTAAGAGCTTGATGTAGCAGGATTAAGTAGGCCCTGTTCTCTAGTGAATTCACCCTTCACGCATCACTGCATCTTTTCTGCAAGTCACAGCTCCCTAAGCAATTGGGAAGATACTGGCCTTGACCCTACAATACTCCCACGGACCACAGGGAGCAAACTATATTTCTGTTTTCTCTTCTCAGTATCTCACAGCAAGTCATCTCAGATAGTCTCTCAAGTGACAGGTGACAGACAACTCACTTGGAGAAACTTAGAGACTTTGAAGCAATAATCAGACCCATTGTGTTCAAAAATGCCAAGCAAAATAAACATTACTCTGTAAAAGTTCTGTATTCAGTCATATTGGGTCATCTCAAGTTTGTGTGTTCTTTTTTTTTGTGTTTTGTTTTGCTTTGGTTTGTTTGTTTGTTTGTTTTTGAGAGGTTTTTGCCCTAGGGCATGTGCGCTTGCTAGAAATCACCCTTCAGGGAGGATGGCCATGCCACAATCCCTTCTCCTCCATTCTCTTCTTGGAATTTTGGGCATGCAAGCACACGTGCCCAGCGTGAGTTTAAGCCACTGGGTCTGGGACTTGAACCCCAGTCAACTATATGGGAGTCCAGCGACATAGCCATTATGCCAACTGCTGGTTCTCATCTTGAGTTTATGTGAGTATTCTTTGGTTTGCTTTTTTACCCCAACTTTATGGCATAAGAATTCTTTATTTTCCTCTTCCACTTGTTAGATTTTCAGGTACAAAAACATTTGGATGTTCACTCATTCACCCAACAAATATTAACAATGTGCTAGACACTGAGAAATTTTGGTAGAATGTTAGAAAACAATATGAGGACAACATACAAAAATATAAAGGTGGGTAATTCTTTGAGACCCTAAAAAGCTAAAATGTCAGAGCAGAAAGATCCTGAGGGACTTTCACAAACTCTTCAGAAAGATTCCCTGCTCCTATGGGGATATAAATAGGGTTTAAAAGAGTTGCTGTAGTTCAAGCATGGTCTCAGGCCGAAACTCATGTTGAAATTTGACCATTAAAAATAATAGTCATGGGGTCAGCAGGTGGCGTGGTGGTTAAGGGTGCTGGACTCCCACAAGGCCAACTACAGTTCAAGTCTTGGACCTGGCAGTTTAGTTTCTCAATCAATCAATCAATAAATAAAGTTAAATAAAATTAATTCTTTATTGGACAGCTGTGGTGGGACAGTGGTAACATAATGCTCTGTGATGGTGAAGCCATTTGGGAAGGTCCCAGGTTCATGTCCTGAGATCTCCCTATAGTGCCAGCTTTGTGCATGCCCATGGTCCTGGCTGGCTGCAGTTGGGGACTCTGATTGGGTGTCCCTCTCTCTCTCTCTCTCTCTCTCTGTCTCCTGGAAGAAACAAATAAGTGGACTTTAAAAAAATAGTAATAAAGATAAAATAGTAATGTCCGTTTACCAGCATGGAAAAATAAGCAGAGCATTGATTGCCAAGACTCAGGTTGTGAAGTCAGAGAAAAGTAGGTTTCATGTCTAGCAGAGTCATGCTTGCTGACCTGAACAGAAGAGCAGCATATCAGTGTGCTGAGAGTTAGGGCTCTGGGCCAGCTCGGTGGTACCACGATAAGGTACTACTCAAAAGAAGCCAGATCCCATAGGGGTTCAAATCTCAGTCCCAGAGGCTTGAAGACAAACCAGGTCCACATGGACAAGGGAAGGAAAGATTGGGTTGTGACCATGCCCCACTTCAGAGTGCTTTCTCCGTCTCTGTCTCCTTCTCTCTCTGTGGCAAGTGTGTGTACCCTCTGACAATTAGAAAAAAGATTTAAAAATAATAAAACATATGATCTTTAGGAGAATGTTTTAATTAAGATCTAATCGATCTGGATTATATTCCCACAGACCTAGGAGTCGGGAGAAGGCAGGGCCAAAGCTATCAGAGGGAACATGAAGGTAGAAAATGTAAGTGAATATGAAAAAGCTAAACTTCTTTGCTGGGTGAGAGATAATGACAACCTGGTAGACTGATTCATTCTCACAGCCACGGGTTTATCATGTGTCCAGCATCTTATATTAGTACACAGTTTTTATTCCTTCGATCTTCATTCAGTCTATTTCACCCTGATTTTCTCCTTTTTAGGATTTTTTTTTCTTTCTGGTTGATATTTTTTTCAAGAATTATCCATATAATTTTTACTTATTAATAGGGCAAATGTGCTCGAGAGAGAGAGAGGGAGAGAGAAAGCAAGCCACCAGGTCCAGGACTTGAACCGCAATCAGCCATGTGAGAGTTCAGGAACTCAACCACCGCATCACCTGCTGTTCCTCTGGTTGATTGTTAATTAGTATCTTAGAGCAACACTATAAGATAGATCCTGGTGAATGCCTACTACGTGGGATTTATCAAATAATCAGGAACATAATTTTTAAAAAGAGAAAGCAGACTTCCTCCCACAATAACTTTTGGAAAGACTCCTATCCAAAATTCAAAGGCAAGAGAAGCTTCTGGATAAAGAAATAAGCTATGAATGTCAGATATTTATTTTGGAAGAAAACAGGAAGCGTTTCCAGTATTTAGGTAGTTGGCCTAACTAAATCAGCTTAGATTCATTTAAATAGTACATAAATTTTTATTTCTTTCTTTGTTGTTCTTTCAAGGAGAAGTTTGATATCTGAAGTCCATTAGAGCTTTGTTCGAATCTAAGCTTTTTCAACTATTAGCCTTGTCATAAGGGGCAAGCTGATTTTCCTCACTGTAAAATGATGACAAGTATAGAATTTAGTTTTCTTTCTGGTTGACTGTTTCTATTGTTTTCTAAGAATTATCCATATAATTTTATTTAATATTATATTGTAGGATGTTAAAAAACAAATGAGTAAATTAAAATAAAATAAAATGTAACTTTACTGGTCTTTCAATGAATATTAGTTATCGAGCATTATAATGATGAAAGTGAGGCTATATACAGAATCTTGCCCAGATTCCAATTACCTAGCTCTATCTTGTAAAAAAAAAAAAAAAAAAACTAGAAATGCCCTTTTCGAAAAAAAAAAATTATACTGATATTGTACTTAAAATCACCAGACAGAGGAAAGAAAGGTGGCCTCCCTTTTCTCCTCTCACCATGGAAACCAGCCACAGAAGCTCCAGATGCACATTTTTTGATTTGGATCCAAGAAAATGGCCCATAATATGGAAACCCAGGAAACCTGGGGAATAAACTCATCAGACCAGCAGGCTTGGATGTTCCCTTTTGTCATGTGAATACCATGGGTTTCAGGCAAAAAATAGGCCAAATTATATGCGTCCATTATTTTAGAAGTGACAAAAGAGATTTAGTCCCCCCACTGGTAAGTGGAAGCCATGTAGTTGTTCAAATATATAAAATACAGCTGATTTTTCCCATAGAAGATTTTTTTTGTTGTTGGAAAGTGAGATGGCCCTGCATGGAGAGGGTTCTCTTTTCCTCTCTCTTCACTTATGCGGGGCAAGAGAATAAAATATTAAAAGAAAGTAGCATTGCTTTTGCTCTTGATTTCTGGTTCAAATGTTCTGCCTGTGAGTTAGGCTGACCATATCTTGCTGACGCATTTCATTCCACCCCAACTTAATTTCACCAGTGCTAGCACCTTCTTTACCATGTTGACTACTAGAAGCACGCCTAGTTTTAGTCTTCTATCATCTGCCAGCATTTGACAGTGTCAAACATCCTGTTTTTGCCGGTAGGGGGCTCCCCTAATGATAGGTAAGTCAATTATCTAACACATTTAAATCCCTCCTGCTTATTATCACATTTACTTCAGATATTTTAAAATTCAGTCCAGCACAGTTTTTTTAGAAAAAGAATTATTTAGTTCCATTTGTTAGTATTATTATTATTTTTAAATTTGACCAGAGAAAGAGAGTGAAAGGGAAAGGGAGAAAGCAAGTCACCAGGTCGGGAACTCAAACCACGGTTGGTCATATGGGAATCCAGCGCCCTTAACCACCATGCCACCTGCTGGCCCAGTCCTACAAATGTTTAAGTTAATCTTATATCTGAGTCAAAACTCTTCTACTCATTCCACTTGGCCCCATCCCACTGGGCTGGGATTCAGCCATCTTGGTGTAGAACTCCAACTCTCACATGCCTCTTCTCCCTTTTCTAGAAGGGAGTATCTGTGTTAGGACATGGAAGAATGACAGTGGAGAGAGAGGGATCTAAACTCGGATACACTGCCCCTGCTGCAGGGATCTCTCTTTCGGTGTTCCTAATAGCTGATACACTTCATGGTCTTTGGCGCAGTTGCCCATTCTGGCTACATACAGACCTTACTAGAAGTTTGTTGTTGTTTATTTGCTCATTTATTTTGCTACAGGTTATTTGTGCTTGTTGGAGAGAGACACAGGTAAAGAGAGAAGGAAAGTGAGAACACTCCCCAGGGAAGATTGCCACATGGCAATCCCTTCTCTTTCATTCTTAGGATTTGGGGCATGCATGCACATATGTGGATGTGTTTTCCAGCCACTGGGTCCAGGACTTGACCCACACAGTCAGCCATGTGAGATCCAGCTACCTTAACCACCACACCACTGGTCAGGCCCACCAGACAAATTCTTAAACCACCCTATGCCTGGGCTTCACTCTAAGGGATTCTAATATAGTTGGGTTCTATTGGGACTGGTAATGTCTTCACTAAGCCACACGGAAAGAAACTTTGTGAACTTTACAACCCTATACATGTAACACAGCATTATCTAAATGATGGCGAGAATAACACATTTGTCACTTATTGCTAGCCTGTTCCTTCCTTTTTATTTGATTCTATTTCTTATATCCTCCCCTAGCATACAAGCTACTTGAGGTGACAACCTGGTCTGTGTTGATTAGTACTGTTTTCATTTCCAAAAACAGTGATAAAATGGTTAAACAGTAATAAATTGTTCATTTCAGGTGTCAGTTTGACTGAATTGGAGGATACCTGGAAGGCGGGTAAAACCTGAATTCTAAGTGTATCAGTGTTGCCAGATGAGACTAGTATGTGAGTCAGTGGGCTGAGAGAAAATCCCACCTTCATTCTGGGCAGGCATCATCTGATCAACTGGGAGCATGGGAGAGACAAACCAGGAGGGTCTGTTTCTTCTCCCCAACCCCCTCTCTTGACTTCGGCACATCAGCCTTTTCCATCCTTCCTCTCCAAGTCTGGCCCTTAGCTGCTTTTGTTCTTGCCAGCTCCTGACCCCTGTATCTTTCCAAATGGAGTCCAATTTTTTTTTTTTTTTTTTTTTTTTTTGAGAGACAGAAAGCAAGAAATCAGCCCTCAGGGGGGATGGCCACACCTCAATCTCTTCTCTTCTATTTTCCTCTAGGGATTCTGGGTGCGCTCACACACATGCAGCAACCCACCAGGCCCAGGTCATGAATCGCAGTCCACTACGTGGCATTCCAGCAACACGACCATTACAGCATCTGCTGGTCCTGGAGTCCAGATTCTTTCATCTTTAGACTCTGGACTCACCGGTGGCCCCCCATGGTGCTCAGGCCTGGGCCTCCAGAGAGCCCCCTTCAGGTCTCAGTCTGGAACTGCACCAGCTTCCCTGCTTCAGTCAGCTGTTTCTCCAGTAGACAGCCTATTGTGGGACTTCTCCACCTTGTAATTGTGTGAGATAAATTCTTACAATTAATCCCTTCTTTTACTTAGATATGTATCCTGTTGGTTCTGTTTCTCTGAAGAACCCTGACCAATACAAGTGCTAAGTCCACGAGCCACTTGTAGATATTACTGACTTAATTCATAGTTTCATTAGGAAGTAGAAACTTTTAATTAACGCATGAAATACTGCTTTAAACACACGCTCAATGGCCCTCCTGAATTGGGATCATGATGGGTGCTTTCTCACAGAGAATCCTGAGGCCCACCTGAGACCCATGAAACCAGAAAACCTGGGTACGGTCAGAGAGGTACGTACCCATGTAAGGCTTGGTGCCAGCCATGGTGGTGATCCGCATCTCCCTGGGCAGCATTGCAGCAATGTTGAAATCCGTGATGTGCACATGCCCTGGGGGGAAAGAAGGACTACAGCGTTACGTATTATTCAACCCAGTAGCATGAGCAACTTTTTTTTTTTTTTTTGAGAGATTTTCACTGTAGGGCGCGTGCGCTCTCCAGACAGACAGAGAGAGACATAGAGACAGAAAGCGAGAAATCACCCCCCAGGGGGGATGGTCACGCCGCAATCCCTTCTCCTCCATTCTCCTCTCGGGATCTTGGGCACGCACGCACACGCGCCCGGCGTGAGTTTTAAGCCACCGGGTCCGGGACACGAACCGCGGTCGACTACGTGGGAGTCCAGCGACATAGCCACTACGCTAACTGCTGGTCCCCAGCAACTTTTAAGTGAAAGCATGTGCTAGTTCTTGTGTGCTAATTGCAAGTGGGTACTGGCCATAACAGTTCAATTATAGGCCAGGAAGAAGTGTGGAGACTGGGGTGCTGGATTCCACACAGGCCACTGTGCAGTTCAAGTCCTGGACACCTGGACTGGGAATCACGCTGGGTGTGTGTGTGTGTGTGTGTGTGTTGGGGGGGGTGCCCAAATTCCCGAGAGGATACTGGAAGGGATTGCAGTGTGGATGTCCACTTTGTAGGGTGATGTTTTACTTTCTCTGTCTCTCTTCGGTGAGTGCACACATCCTATAGCAAAATAAACAAATAACAGCTCAATTATTCCATCTTTAAGGCCAATATGATCTTAAGCCAGCAACCCTCCAGCTGCCAAGCATGCTATGCAGTGACTAGTCTCGGATTGTGAATTTGCAGTTCAACCTCAGAAAGCTTTTACCTTAGTGGTTTAGAGTTTATGCTCTGTTAATTCTCCTGAGGCACTTTTTGATCTGTGGGAAACATTTTAAGTTGATTTAGCCTGTAACTATGATGACAGGGAGAGTCAAGAACTATTCAAACTATTAAATTTCCAAACATCTCTTAGCTCTTTAAAAAAAAATTTTTTTTTTTTTTTTAGGTTTTTGCAATAGGGTATACATGCTCGTCAGAGAAAGACAAAGAGATTCAGTGAGAAGGAAAGTGAGAAATTGTCACATGGTGGGGATAGCCATATCACAATCCCTTCTCCTCTCAGGATTCTGAGCATGCCTGCACATGCACCTGGTGTGATTTTCAAGCTGCCGGGTCCAGGACTCAAACTGTAGTTGGCCATGTGAGAATGCAGCACTGTATCCACCATGCTACCTGCAGGCCTCCTAAAAACACTCCTTTTAAGAGGTAAACATTGTTCCTACAAAATTGGCAGAGTTGAGACCATCAGAACACAGGAGACCTGGGTTCTATCCTAAACTCTGCCCTTGACCCATCCCTCTCCTGGGTTGATCCTAGATATACCTTCATAAGAAAGTAATGGGTAGATTAGATGATCTCCAGGGTCTAACCCTCATGGTGATAGAGTGGGGGTCTAATACGTGAAGGTGGCAGGGAATGCCCTCTACAGAAGGCTCTAGGGTCCTTGCATTTGCTGAGGGATGGAAGAAACAGGCAGACAAGCCTGGTGTGGTAGCTGCTGGGATGACAGTCATGTGCTTTCAGAGGAGCGGAAGTGTTGGCATTTCCATTTCCAAGTGTCTGTGGTTTTGATGAGGTATGATTGCAAGGGAGGGGAGCCATCCGATCCTTCTTCCAGCACCCACAGTCCACACTCCCCACACCAAACTTCATTTTCTGCTTCCTGACAGCACCCAGCCTGCTGCTGAAAATGAACCTCATCACATCACCACCAGGTTTTATTTTGTGTATAAAATGTTTTTGTTTTTGTTTATGTGATGATAGCTTAATAAAGAGAAGGGTAAATTCTGATTAAAAGTTAAGGTATTCTGGCCTAAATGGCACCATTGGATGGTTTAAATAACTCACCCTATAATTATCTTTCTTTTTTTCTTTCTCCCCATGGGTCATGCTCAAAGCATTGGACTAGTGATTCACAAGCTTTGATACTAATTGGGTGAGTCCAGAGACTCTGGTTAAAAGCCTGCTTCTACCACTAACTAGCTATGTTACCTTGAAAAGGTAACCTTTCCTCTCTGTAAAGTTGAAATAATAGTAGTCTTCTTGTGAGGTGGCTGGGAATTAAATGAAATAATAACTATAGAAGAGTGAGCACAGGAAGTATAATACATGTTCAGGAGTTGACATTTGTCATTTCACTCCTGAAACTCCAATTCAACAGAACTGGCAGGAGAGCCAGGCACCTGTATTAAAACAATAAACCAGGGACCAGCAGATAGTGTAATGGTTATGTCGCTGGATTCCCACATAATTAACTATGGTTTGAGTCCTGGACCCAGCAGCCTGAAACTCACACCAGGCACATATGTGTGTGTGTCCAAAATCCCAAGAAAAGAATGGTGAAGGGAGGAGAAAGGAGAAGAAAGGATTGTGGCATGGCCATCCCCCCTGAGGGGTGGTTTCTCGCTTTCTCTCTGTCTCTCTGTCTCTTTGGCAAGGCATACACGTCCCATAGCAAAAATCTCTCTTAAAACAAAACGACTCCACAGGTGACTTAGATGAGCAGCTGGACACATGATCGACATTTTTAGCCTAACGTGATTCTCTAGACCAGCCATATCAGCATCACCTGGAAACTCATTAAAAATGCAAACTCCTGGGCCCCAAACCAGACCTTGGTGAATCAGAAACTCTGGGGTTGGGGCCCGTGTTTTAACAGCTCCTCCAGGTGATGCTGGTATCTAATAATGTTTGCAGTCACTGTTTTAAAAGAAGAACCAGCTGAAGAGCCTGCCCCGACCTTAGTAAGTACTCATTACTTATCTGTTGAATTTGGGTGAAAGAATATTGAATATTTATAAGTATTATTTACATTCCTATGATTAATTCAGTTTTTAAAATGTTGTCATATGAAGTTCCTCCTTTAGCCTGGTGAGGTAGACCTGTTTTATTGATAAGCTGTTTATGGCTAAGTTCACAGGGCTTGGAAGTACAGAGCTGCTGTTAAGACCTAGAATTTAGTCTAGAGCCCCTTTTATGGGTTATAAATGTCCCCAAAAGTTTGTTTGCTCCACTACAAGGCCACAGAACTGAACAGCATGAGACAACTACTTTCTTTCTTTCTGTCTGTCTTTTTTTTTTAATAGAGATCTTT